GGGAGGAACCGACCATTCATAGGGGGGGAGGTGGGGGGGAAGATCCAGCGGGGTGGTGGTGGTGGAGGACAGGGAGGAACCGGCAGGATGGGGGGGGGAAGCTTACCTGCTCGTTCCTCCTCCAGCAGCTAAGTTTGGAGCTCCCCCCCGCGTGAGTTTCGCGGGTCTTCTTTCTCGTGATCTACTGACTCACCGCCTCGCTGACGTTGGAGTTCATGGGTAGCCTTGCAGTGGTTCACCTCATTCCTCCATGGTCGGGGACAGAGTGGCGCTGGGTGGGGAAGTGTTCCTGAGGCATCTGCTGGTATGCAGGGTTCCTCAGGGGGCACTCCTCTCCCCAATGTTGTTCAACATCTATAAGCACCCCCTTGCCCAGCTGGTGCAGAGTTTCAGGCTGGGGTGCCATCAGTACGCTGATGACACTCAGCTATTTCTGTTGATGGGTGACCAGCCGGATGCCATTTCGGTGAATTTAGCCGAGGACTTGGAGGCTTTGGTGAGATAGTTAACGCAGAGTTGGCTGAAGCTGAATCCAGGTGGTTGGGTTGGTGGGCTACATTTGGGTTGCCAACTCCCAGCTCTTGATGGAGTGCCCCTTTTACCAGCACCAACTGTCAGGAGCCTGGGCATGACCCGAGACGCTACCTTGTCAATGGAGACTCAGGTTACGAAGGTTGCCAGGCTAGTGTTTTTTTCCAATTGTGCCAGATTTGGCAACTGGCTCCCTACCTGTCCCGCTCTGACCTAGCCATGGTAATCCATGCAATAGTCACCTCCAGGATAGACTATAGTAACTCGCTCTGTGTGGGCCTTCCTTTGAGGCTGACCTGGAAGCTCCAAATGGTCCAGAATTTTGCTGCTCAAGTCCTTACAGGGACCTCCTTGGACGGCACATATCCAACCTGTGCTGTGCGAGCTGCACTGGCTTCCAGTGAAGCACCAGATGAAGTTCAAGGTGCTGGTTCTGACCTTTAAGGCCCTTAGAGGCAGGTACCCACATACCGTCAGGAGGACCGCCTCATTATGCCCCCAAGAGAACATTATGCTCAGGTAGCAAAAATCTCCTGGTGGTCCCCGGCCCAAGAGAGATCTGGCTGTCCTCAACCAGGGCCAGGGCTTTTTCAGCCCTTGCCCCCACCTGGTGGAACTCTCTGCTGGAGAACATCCAAGCCCCGTGGGACCTTTCTGCAGGGCTTGTAAGGCAGATGTTCCACCAAGCATTTGGTTGAGGACAGCGATGGGACAGCGAGTAGTCTGCTGCTCTCAGGTCTCCCCCTCACCTGCCTCCCCCCTTAGGCGGCTATGGGAAGTTGCAAGTTTTCTGTTGTAATTCCTTGCCACCTTGGAATAGCTTGTTTTATTTATTGACTCTGTATTATGTTTTATTATCAGTTTTAGCTTAATACAGATTGCTTATTGTCCCATAATGTTGTAAACTGCCCTGAGCCCTGCTCACAGGGAAGAGAAGCCTAAAAGTCCAAATAATAAATAAATATAAATAATTTAAAAAATGGGATCCAAGTGGACTCTGCTAGAAGGATAGTGAAATGGCCAAGCTTAGTTTATGCTGGAAACATTATCAGCTATAATCAACTGAAGTGTTTAATGAATAGGGGCAATGCTAGAAATTTAACAGGGTTGGTGTGTGTGTAAAAGTTCCGATGATGACTAGCAGAATGGCCACACAAAACTTGTTGTACAGAGCTTGGTTAAGCCCTGGCTTGCTTTGTAGTGACTTTGGCTTGTGCTTTAGTGCCAGTGTTTTAATGGTATAGGGTTACTTGTAAGCCATCTTCTTCTGCTGATCCCTGTAGCCCTGGTCTTCCATCCCTCATCATACAGGCAGCTAGATTATAAAATAGTGCCAGTGATCAGGGGCCATTGTGCAGCCTGAAGACTGTGCCTTTACCTCTTGCTAAAGCAACCGTGCAGACAGTAGAAGATTCTTTCAGCCCGCTCTCAGTGTGAATTCAGTCCTGACTGCTGAGGCCAATAGCAGCAGGGAGTGGGAACAGATCTATCAAATCTCAATTAAAGCAGTACACACCCCTGAAACAATAGGCATTTATTGAACAGTATCTGGATAGAGTTCTGAAAGCCAAGCAGATTAATGGAGTTGCCAGGTCTTCTTCCAGCAAGGCTTCTTTGCCACAAAGTACAGAATCCCAGGCAGAGCTGCTGGGACAACTTGTCTCTCAGGTAGCTTGCAATGGTGCAGAAGCCAAGCAAGAAGATGAGTTGGCTATCCTATAATATAGTGGCTAGATGCACACTGGTCCCTGCAGGTGTTGGTCATGTTGTAAGTCAAGCAGGTATATGACATTGCATGCTTGGGTGGGGGCATTACCAAAGGTTCCCACTATTAAAGCGTGTCCAGCATGAAGCCAGAGAAGTGTAGTCCTGTGCATGTGCTCTTTCACTTGAGATGCAAGGCTTAAAGGAGCTGTGATTGGCTGTAGGCTTAGCTGGTATCTTAACCTGAATTGTGGTTTTCAGGCATGGGAGGCAGTTTTTTACTCTTCATGAATTCTATGGGAGTGTTTAGACTAGTGTAATATGGGATTGTGGAGCAGCCTGAAGGATATTTAAATACCAGGTAAGCTCTGCACTTTTCACCTTCCCCCTCCCAGCCTAGTTCTTCTACACCAGTCTGAAGCCAGTGTGCATTGGTGGTACTGACATATTTCAGAACTCAGCACACGCCTTATACTGAATCAAACCCTTGGCCCATCAAAGTCAGACTGGCAGCAGCTCTCCAGAGTCTCAGGTGGAGATCTTCCATATCACCTACTACCTGATCTTTAACTGAAGATGCTGGGGGGGGGGGTTGAACCTGGTGCCTGTATGCCCAGCAGATGCTGTAGCACTGAGCCACAGCCGCTCCTCAATTACAGTGTTGTTGTTCAGTCGCACAGTCGAGTCCGACTCTTTGCGACCCCATGGACCAGATCACACCAGGCCTTCCGGTCTTCCGCCGTCCTCTGAAGTTTGCTCAATTTCATGTTCCTTGCATCAGTGACATTGTCTAACCATCTCATCCTTTGCCGTGCCCATCTTCTTTGACCTTCAATCTTTCCCAGCATCAGGGTCTTCTCCAGTGAGTGCTCCCTTCTCATTTGGTGCCCAAAGTATTTGAGCTTCAGTTTCATTATCTGGCCTTCCAGGGAACAGTCAAGGTTGATTTCTTTTAGGATTGACTGATTCGATTTTCTTGCAGTCCAAGGGACTCTCAAGAGTCTTCTCCAGCACCATAGTTCAAAAGAATCTATTCTTCGGCGCTTGGCCTTCCTTATAGTCCAACTCTCACAGCCATACATGACTACTGGGAATACCATTGCTTTGACCATGCGGACTTTTGTTGGCAGGGTGAGGTCTCTACTTTTTATCATGCTGTTTAGGTTCGCCATCGCTTTCCTCCCAAGGAGCAGGCATCTTTTAATTTCATGGTTGCTGTCACAGTCTGCTGTGATTTGGGAAGGGTAATTTCGTATTCTCAGCACTGCAAAACAAGGGCTTTGGGATCGTTCCCATGGAACCCGTGCCTAAGTAGGTCCCACTGAGTCCAATGGGATTTACTCCCAGAGACAGAAAGAACATATAAAATCCAAAATTGTATACAGGGAAACGGACAATACAGGACGGGAACAGGCGAAGGGAAAAAAAAACCTCAGGAATGTGTTGCACCAAAAACAAGCTGTAAACCTCCCACAGCCCGTTTCTGGCAAGGATGTAGCAGGCTCCTATTGGCCAGTCACCCACTCCACCCCTGCGTGTTGATTGGCGAAAAAAGCTGGCGGGGGCGCGGCTCGGCTCGGCTCGGATCCCAGGCCTATCGACCTGAGCAGTCGGGGCTGTCGAGATGGCGGCTGCGGCTCTGATAGGAAAGCGGGTGTCCGGCTGGGCCCGGCACCGCGCCTGTCGGGGGCTTTCACTGGTGCGGCGAGGCTGCGCCGGAGACTCTTTGGACGACGCGGTGAATGGGCTGAGCACGGAACAGCAGCAGGTACTGCGGAGGGAGCAGGCTGGGGGGGAAGGTTGGCTGGGCTTCGTCCGGCCCCAGGTGTTTTCCCCCAAGTTCTCTATAGTTCCCTTCACTTTCTCAGCTGTTGCCCTAGATGGAGTCCGTTCCCTTTAGATGCTGGTGTCGGCGTTGAGGCGAGATCTGGACCTGGGTCCAGTGTTTAAATTCTAGCACGTATGAAATAATCATAAAGAGGCGAGTGTCTCTGAGCATGTGCAGAGCGCCTCCTCTTTTGGGGCCGTCCTCGTTTCCGCATTTTTGATGCGGATTTTCAAGGTGGAGAATGTAGGCTGCAGGCAAACTTGAGCCCGCTGGCAACTCACGCCTTCAGAATCCATCCGCTTTAAAACAACAAAAAGGAACTTGACTGATCGTCTCTTCTTTAAGAACAAGTAGGGAGCTGTCTGGAGCCAATCCCCACACGATTTGTTTATTCTTCTTACTTCAAAGAAATTACCCTTTTTTAGTACTTTATTTGCTATCATTTAACATAGATTGCAATTTGAACCATGGATAAGTGCATTGAATGTGGAGTGAAATACCAGCCCCTTAACTCTCTTCCTAACTACTCAGGGTCATGCTCTTCTTACGTGGGGTGCTAAAATGCATGTACCTTGCACTTGTGTGTGTCACAGTGAGGGTTGTTACTAATGTATCTCATATTATAGTAATTATGAATTATGTATTTAACCCTCAAAATGAACTAGGCATTGGCAATAGACAAAAATCATCTTACAATTAGTGTCTCCTTTAAAAATTAGTATAATGCTTTAGGGATTTATAATTAGAATACATTTTTTAAAAAGTGTGTTCAAATCCTGTAGAGGAGTCGAACGATCAGAAGTCTGCTTCTGTTTTTGGATTCTTGTGTTAAATTGGAAACTTGATTTGTAAATCTGAAGCAAATGTGTTTCTGTCATGCTCGTTTGGAGGTGACTTCTCCAGAGTGCTCCTTATTTGATTTCCAGACCAGATGGGCATGGCCTCACTAGCTGTCTTGAGCCATGTGTCATGTGTGCCTGTCTCTGGACTGGGCCATAATTTCTAGCTAGCTTGGAATATCTCAGCAATGCTTAATTAAAAAAAAAATGAAATACCCCTTTGACAATCATATTACCTTGTTGTTTTCCACCTTGTTCATCATGTAGCACTAATGAGTGGTTGGAGAGGATTCCCCTTAAGTATTTGCTGTGCTCAAGCAGAAAATAAGAATGTGCTGCTAAAGTAATCTATAACTTTAGTGGCAAAATATTAAAAGCATTTCCTGCTACAGTTGACTAACGTACGTGTTCAAAAGCAATATAAAGAATCTTAAAGCTCAGTAGATACACACTTGGGAAGGGACACAGTAGCCCACTAAGGCGTTCCACCTAAGTACTTACCAAACAACGGTATGGACCGTAGAGGTACCAGAGAAAGCTCCATTCTGAATTTCAGTAGATTTAAAGTTAACTCTTCAAGTTATTCTTGGGATTTATAATATGTATTTTATTATGTTGCATCTTTTAACAGCTTAGACAAACCATGATCAAATTCTGTCAGGAGCACTTGGCTCCAAAGGCCCAAGAAATTGACCAGCAGAATGAATTTAAAGGCATGAGGGTAAGTGCTTTCGCTAGCTTGCTTCTTGGTATGGCAACATAGTAGATTGTTTCATAGTAGATTGTTTACCTGACATAGGGAGAAGAGTTTAAGAATGCAACTACAGAGGATTTTGGAAAGGGATGAAATACCTGCCTTATTAGAAGATTTTAATGCATTTTTTAAAAGATATGTCCTCTTTCTCATCAAGTTCTACCTGGACACAGAATATCTGTTAATAACTACTTAGAGAGCTTGTCACCAAAGTGGTATATACATATTTTAAATACTTAAATTAAAAATTCTGTATAGTTTCTTACTGAGATATATGGAGTGTTTCCCTTTCTGACAGCTGTAAAGGGCACTGACTTTCTCTCTGGCACATAAATTTTTCCTGGCTCTTTCTATAGGTTGTAAAGAGTTCACTATTGCTGTTGGGCTTCTAAATGTGGGATTTAATAGGTTCTCTTTAAGAGTGCTCCATAAATTTGAAGAGCTAGAGGTGTTTTTATGGGATTATCTGTTATTTGCTGTTGCCTTTTAGAAGCCTACCTGTACTTGGGAAGTTCATATCTACTAGGTCATAGTATACTGGCCATATTTCTCTGAAATTTGCAATAGCTTTTTATGAAACCAATCTCAGTTTTGTAGGAATATGCAGGTTTCCAAATTATATGGTATTCCTAGTTAAGGAAGTTTGGAATGTTAGCTACTTTTCATCTGTATAGGAACAAAATACTGAACAAAAGAGCAATTATTTGGCAGCCCATGCACAAACAATAAGGTATAGATCCAAGATCCTTTGCATTTTGGCAGCCTTCCTGTTCCCATTGCTCATGCATTATGTGACCAAAAAAATTATCTTTCAATTCTGAGAGAGTAATACAGAATTATTTGTCTATAAAGGACCTGAACCTGAACACCTCAATGCTATTTCCAACTAGTAGGAACTATTACAATGGCAAGGTTTGTCCTTGGAATCTGCTGTTAATCAAAGCAGGAAAGTAACAGTGTATTTCTGGTGGCATTTGACTTTGCCATTTATTGAGGGGGAAATATACATTTCAGTTTCCCAAAGTCCTGTGTCTGAAAGTTGCCTTGTTTATGTAAAGAGAATCTTTTCACTAAAACCTTTGAGAGTATGGAAGAGTTTCCAGCAAAAATCATTGTCTTTTCTAGCTATTCTTTTTTTAAAAAAAATTCTAGTTGTGCTTTCTTCTTCTGAAGATGTGAAATTGAGTTCAAGCTATTGTGCCCCCCATATAGTTCAGCCTTGAAGTAGTGCAGAGCATTAACATGTGTAAGTACAGCAGTACGGGAGATCAGGCCCAGAAGTCCAATTTTAGTATATGTGCTCAGAAGTCTAAAGTGCGTACGAATAAGTTGCTGTCAGGACTGAGAATGAACAAGCCTTACTGGCTGTTTAGCTCTTAGCTCTCTGAGAGTCTCATATACAGATGGAGAAAAACTTGATGAGGAGAGGGCTGGAATGTGGGCCATTTTGCTTCAACTCCCCACCCCCGCTCAGTCTGGAGCATCCATTATATTTAGTTATTATGCTTCTGTATCATTTTTCCTCATTGTTCAAACTGGTTTACAATAAAACAAGCAAACTATGCCCCTGTTCTAATTATTAATCCTTTTTGCTGAGTGAATATTTTAGCCCCTTGTCAATGTTCTGAGGGCGACGCAGGAGAAGCCATGGGCTGCCTTGGGCCAATAGGTGTGTGTTGTGAGTTCTTTGCCTGGAACTCAGTTCTCAAATACGCAGTCACAAGATCCAGATTAGGACATAATACTTGGAGGGAAGGTGTTGAAGCCTTCCCCCACATGCCATTTTCCTGACCTGAAATAAGCCTGGGAAGGTTCTGGGCATACCAGGGCATACCTATTGGGCATTGGGCATACCTGACATAGGACATACCTATATTTCATTTAATTGCTTCATTTATAGCCTTTCTCACTGAGACTCAAGGTGGATTACAAAATCAATCAGATAGCAGTTAACAATGCAATAGGACTAGGAGTGCAGTTAGAAAATGATGTAAGCCAAAAACCTTTCTAAGGTATGGCACAGTGTAGAAGAAGAGAAGAGATTGGATTTATACCCTGTCCTTCACTTGGCGTCTCAGAGCGGCTTACAAACTCCTTTCCCTTCCCCTCTCCACAACAGACACCCTGTGAGGTGGGTGGGGCTGAGAGAACTCTTTTTCAAGGACAGCTGTGCCAGAGCTTGTGACTGACCCAAGGTCACATCAGCAGGTGCAAGTGGAGGAGTGGCGAATCAAATGCAGTTCTCCCAGATTAGAGTTTGCGCACTTAACCACTACACCAAACTGGCTCTCACACCAAACTGGCCACTAATGCAGAAAGTGGACTACAAAGGCAGAGGGACTGTAAAGTGATCTATATTGGGGCAAACAAGCCCAGTTTCTCATATGCACTGGTGGGATCTGAGCTGGCAGCAACAGATTGAGAAAGGGATCTTGGGATGGTAGTGGATAGCTTGATGTCAACCCAGTGTGCAGCATGCTAGTCATACTAGTGACAGGCCTGTAGCTAATGCGGGGCCCGGCCTCCTCCCATTTCTTCTGGGCCCCCTCCCTCCCGGGCTGTCCCCAAAGTGCCTCACCTCACCACCTGCGCGCCACTTTGCACCCTGACTGAAAAACACCTCCACTTAAATCTTCTTCGGACTGCAAAGACCTGGGGTGGAAGACAGCCACACCTTTTTTTAACTGGGGGGGGGGGTAATTTATGCAAGATGTCAAAAGCGGGAGGGAGGAGAAAAGTGGCCTTCTGCCAAGCCGGGGAACCCTATCCTGAAGGCTCTAGCTGAGTAACAGAAGGGGGGAAAGTATAAAACATTTTTTTAAGTAGCACAGCATTTATATATATGAACTGTTGTTTGAGGCCTTCTGGTCCACAGTATTATTCCAAGGTAATGGATTCCCCCCCTCCCCCGCTTCTCTTTTGTGTGAGGAAATTAAGATGATATGAGGGAGAGATTTGGGGTTCATTATTTTAGTTTTAATTTGAAATGTTTTAAAACTATTATTGTAAGCGCCCCTGAAGCACAAGGAAAGGTGGGGTAAAAATGTTTTCATAAATAAAATATGCTCCAGGAAATTGTATCAACTGTTTACCTCGTTAACAGCTTTTGTCCTGCTCTTTGTAGGATTTTTGGAAGAAGCTGGGGGAACTGGGAGTTCTGGGAATAACTGCTCCTGGTGAGTGTCTCTCTGACCTGTTCTAAACAGCTTGTTTCCCAGTCTTGAGAACACATCTGTGGTGTAAAGAGGGGTTGCCATCTATAACAAAACAGCAAGAATAAAGTGGGATTATTTCAAAATGCCACTTGTGCAGCGTGGTTCCTTACAGTTGCTTCTCTGTGTCCATGTATATTGCTGTCTTGCTGTAAAAACCAGGTTTGATTCCCCACTCCTCCACATGCAGCTGCGGGTGTGACCTTGAGTCAGTTACAAGTTCTCTCAGAGCTGTTCTCTCAAGAGCAATTCTTGAAGAGCTCTCTCAGCCCCACCTACCTCACAGGGTGTCTGTTGTGGGGAGGGGAAGGGAAAGGAAAGGAGTTTGTAAGCCTTTCGGAGATTCCGAGTGAAGGGCAGGGTATAAATCCAATCTCTTCTTCAATCTCTTCTACTCTTGATTGTCCCTCTTAGGGGTTCATGAGTGATCTTCCTTCATGCTGAGTTACTCCATTATTCTCTCAGGGTACATGACATCCCATTGTTCAGCAGATAGGCATGGACTGTCTTTTCTACAGCTTTACATGGAGATAAGTTAGTGAATTTGCATTTCCTTGACCCCTTGATACAGGAGAGGCAAGGGGCTGTGGCTCAGTCCTTGCTCTTTTTCTTACTGTCATGCAGAAGGTCCCAGGTTCAATTCCCACCATCTCCATTTAAAAGGACCAGCCAATAGGTGATGTGAAAGACCTCAGCCTGAGACCCTGGAGAGCCGCTACCAGTCTGAGTAGACAATACTGACTTTGGTGGACCAAGGGTCTGATTCAGTAGAAGGCAGCTTCATGTGTGTTCATGAGATTCTTCATTCAGAGTTTGTCTTTTTGATTAGCTTTCATTGGATTGATTGGTTATGTATGCCTGTGCAGTCCCAGAGTATGGCAGGGTACAGCAGCCTGAATGTATCTGGTCAGTGCTTGAATAGGAAGAACCATATGTTGACTGTTTTGATTTCCATGATGGGTTGGGGGAGGCAAGATAAAAATGTAATGAATAAAAAGAGAAGATGGGTGTGTGGCAGCATTACTGGTTTTTCTGGACAACTAATTCTCTTAGTTGCTGTAGATTTTCTGGGCTGTATGGCCGTGGTCTTGGCCATACAGCCTGGAATATCTACAACAACTAATGAACTCTGGCAGTGAAAGCCTTTGACAACATAACTAATTCTCTGTTTTTAAGATGTAGGAGATGAGACTCAAAGGGAGAACAGATGTGACCAGCTCATTGCTAGCTGGTCAAAAGCCAAAGCTATGCAAGTAGAAAGCCTGTTTCATGATGACAGATTTTCTGTATAGATATTGTGTCTGATCTGTCTCCTGTGACAAATGTGTTTAAATGTATATTAATCTTCCCCCTCCTCTCACCAGCTGAATACGGTGGATCTGGGATGGGCTACCTTGACCATGTGTTGGTGATGGAAGAAATTTCTCGGGTTTCCGCAGCGGTTGGGCTGAGCTACGGTGCCCATTCTAACCTTTGTATTAATCAGTTAGTGAGGAATGGTAATGAAGCACAGAAAGAAAAATACCTGCCCAAGGTATGTAGAACTTTGGAAACTGCCTCATAAAGGGAATACAAAAGTGTGATGGGTCCAGTGGCACCTTTAAGACCAAAAAAGTTTCATTAGAAGGAGGAGGAGATTGGATTTATACCCTGTCCTTCACTTCCCGAAGTAGTCTCAGAGCAGCTTAGGGTCTCCTTTCCCTTCCCCTTTCCACAACAGACACCCTGTGAGGTAGGTGGGGCTGGTGAGAGAATAGGTCTGAAAGAACTTGTTACTGACCCAAGGTCACACCAGCAGCTGCATGTGGAAGAGTGGGGAATCAAACCTGGTTCTCCCAAATTAGAGTCCGCACTCCTAACCACTACACCAAACTGGCTTTCATGTGCATGCCAGAATTAAACATACCCAGAATTAATTTTTTTGGTCTGAAGGGTGCCACTGGACTCAAACTTTGTAATTATTATTTTTAAGTTTCTATTACTGTATCATCTGGCTGTTACTGCATTATCTTATACTTTGTAGTCCCCCATTCTGCATTGCTCATACAATAATTTTGTTTTAGGCGGTTTTCTGTTCTCATTGTTGCTTGCACTGCCTTTGCATTTTGTATTCCTAGTCCTACTGCATTGTTTTTTGGATGTCAATGAAGGGGGCCTGGTGGTTCCACTGGTCATGGGTGGGGGGCAATTTGGAATCTGTTGCTTTTTGCCTGCTTGTTGATCACTGGACACTGTGGTGCTTTCCCCCCTTGCTGGGTTTGATGATTTGATGTGATTGGTGGTCGTTTCAGTGGGGTTAATCAATGTTTCTTTCAGTTTAAAGCATCTTGGTTTGAATTGTTTTTATTGGCTGCCGTGGGGGCCTTCTCAGATGTGGGGGGCCATGGGAATGCAGTTGCCACCTGGGCTAGTGTATGGAGATGCGCTGGGCATGTGCTTTCCGTAGCCCTTCATGGAACAACAGCACAGAGCTGGTTGGAGGGTGGGGTGGGGGGAACCATCCAAGCTGGAACTGGGCTGCTCAGAGCGCTCTTGGACCTGTACTCCCTGGAGCCCATGTCTTCTTGGGGGGGGGGGGGGGGGGGGGGGTTGTGGAGGGCTCTGTAGAAAAGAGGTTGGCTGGAGAGCAGCACTGCCTGCCTCAGGAAATAATGCGAAAAGCTGCTCTGCCTTGCATGTTAGAATCTTCCCAAACAATTTCATCTCTGCGTCCCAGACCCTCAGTTCTCGGGTGCATTCACCCCAAAGATAGTCCCACTGCTTTACGTAAGATTTTCTTCTGAGGGGGCACACTTGGGGGTGCCACAATCGGAGGTGGAATAGGATATTGTCCCAAGAGGAGCCTTGACTTGTGCAGAATGACCAGGTCCCTATGCCACTGACTGAAGTGTCCAACAGCAGGGCACTCTTTTTAGACAGGGCAGGAGACTGGACATAGGAGCTGCAGCATCAGCAAAGCTTTCTAAAGCAAACAAACTGTAGTCCATCTACTCCAGCATCCTGTCTCACATAGTGGCCACCAGTACCTCTGGAGGGCCAACAACAGGGCAGAGAGGCCGAGGCCTTCCTCTGATAAGAACATCAGAAGAGCCCTGATGGATCAAACCAGTCGTCCACCCAGTTCATCATCCTGTCTCACACAGTGGCCAGCCAGTTCCTTCAGAGGTCCAACATCTGGGTACAGAGGCCGAGGCCTTCCCCTGAGGTTGTCTCCGGGCACTGGCATTCAGAGGTTGATTGCCTCTGAGTGTGGAGGTTCCCCTCAGTCACCATAGCTAGTAGATTCAGGTGTGTGTTGGTCTGGTCTGAAGCAACAGAACAAAATTCAAGTCCAGTGGCACCTTTAAGACCAACAAAGTTTAACCAAAAGCTTATACCTTGAAAAAAACTTTTCTGGTCTTAAAGGTGCTATTGGACTTGAATGGCTAGTAGCCACTGATAGACTTATCCTTCATGAATTTATCTGATCCCCCTTTAAAGCAGTTTATTCCTGTGGCGATCACTACATCCTCTGGCAGCTAATTCCACATTTTAATCACTCTCTGTGTAAAGCAGCATTTCCTTTTGTCCATCCTGAACCTACTGCCCATCAGCTTCTTTGGATGCCCTTGAGGTCTAGTCTCTGTCTGTCTGTCTGTCTCTTTCTTTCCCAAAGTTAGAACAAAACACAAAGGAGGGTAGGCTCTCCAGCTCTGAGTTGGGAAATACCTGGAGATTTTTGAACTGGAGCCTGAGCAGTGGGTGTTGCCTTCTGACATACCTCTGGTGATGTCAGGAGGTGTGGCATATGCAAATAAGTTATGCTAATGAGTTATGCTAATGAGCTCCTGCACCTCTTTTTCTACAAAATGACCCCTGAGCATATTATTTCCATCTTGCACCTAAAAGGATCCTCCTTTTTCTCCTTCTTGAAGATGGGGACATTTGCCCGCCTCCAATCTTCTGGCACCTCACCCATTCTCCAAGAATTCTCAAAAAGAATGGACAGAGGCTCAGAAATTACATCCGCGAGATCTTGGATGCAGTTCATTTGGCCATGTGGATTTCGTTTCATTTAAAGACACTAGGTGTTTATGTACGACCCCTATGTCGATCCTAGGCTGCAACTCTCTTCCCTCATCATGTGTTCTGTTTTTTGCCATATTGAGCACCGTTTCCCTTGCAAGAGAAGACCAAGGAAAAGTAGGAATTGAGCAATTTTTGCCCTCTCTTCATCACCTGTTACAATTTCACTTTCTTGTCCCCGCAATGGGCCTACCATGTCCTTGCTCTTTTTCTTACTTTGAACATTTATTTATTTATTTATTAAGAAAAGAACCCTTTTTTGTTTTTAGCATCTCTCGCTAGCCTAAGCTCATAGTGAGCGTTAGCTTTTTAAATTCTCTCTCTCTACGAGCACTTGTTATTTCTTTATATTCATCCTCGGTTATAAGGCCCTCCTTCCACTTTCTGAATGAGTCTTTTTTATTTCTCAAGTCTTTAGAAAGCTGTTTATGGAGCCACCTTGGCTTCTTTAGGCTCCTCCCATTTTTCCTTCTCATAGGAATGGTTTGTGATAGTGCCTTCAGTATTTCACTTTTAAGAAACTTCCATCCCTCTTGAACTCCCTTATCCTTAAGTATTTCTGACCATGGGATTCTACCCAGCATAACTTTAAGTTTGTCAAAATTTGCTTTCCTGAAGTCCAACCTATATGTCTTACTATGTACAGCTGTTACCTTCCCCAAGTCTGTAAATTCCGAAATTACATGGCAGATGCAAGTGTGGAAGTCCTTGCAACTTCATGTCCTACTGGCGAGTATGGCAAGGAATGGCATTTGGATTCATGCCTCTCTTAGGGTATCTTCATACTAGCATCTTCATCAAAATGAATAAGCCATCACAGTTCAGGCAGAATTTCCATGCTGCCTAGTGTTCTCTGGGACAGTACTTTTCACGTGTTCAGCTGCTGCTCAGGAGTTCGATAGAAGTATGCATGTGTGAAACTCCTCTTTAACTCCCCCCCACCTCGTTGTAAGAGTCCTGCTGGAGAAATTGCACTGTAGCAATGATGAAGAAAATGGTTACTGAGCTATCTGAACATTCTTTCTTATAGGGGGGGGGGCTTTCTCCTACCTTTTTTACAATGAAAGAATGAGTAGTTGACATGACTGGCTGCACCATGCCTGATTGTGCTGTAAATTAGAATGGGCATCCTTGAGCTGTATTTAAACTTCAGCTTCAGCTCCATCTCTGTATACCGTGGCTGTGACCAGCTCCTTAATGTTCCCATTAATTGCTCTGAAATTTAGGAGTATAATATTAAGCAGAGTTATGCCCTTCTAATAATAAAGTGCCATCAAATCGCAACCAACATGGCCACCCCTCATGGAGTTTTCAGTGCAACAGATGAGATAGATGGTTTACCATTGCCTTCCTCTGCATAGCAACCCTGATCTTCCTTGGTGGTCTCCTATCCATATCTGACCCTGCTTGGCTTCCAAGCTCTAACAAGCTGCTTGTACCTTTCTATGCCCATTAATTTCAATGAATTTAGGGTACAATTGTGTTTCTGTTTGTTTCTACCAGAGTTTTTTTTTAAAAGTCTGTAAAAAATGCCATGTTGAGTAATTACACACTACAGACAACTATTCATTTCTCAACAAAAATAATACCACATCTGGTTGTCTTTGTGTCTGGCTGTAGCTGTATGATAGCAGTATTTCCCAGTTCTTTTGTGTGTATGGCAGGTCCTAGTTGCTGCCTTTGGTTTTGTGAAGCCTTGTTGTACTCTGTTGCCATCACTCAAGTGAACTGAGCCATGGCTCAGTGGTTGAGCACAAAATGATTCCATTCCTGATGCCATTGAACGTTTTCCCCACCCAAACATGAGCTAAAACGTGTGTGTAGCTGGAATTACAATTATCTGAAGTAGTTTTCCTTAGGCACCTGTTTAACAGCTCACAAAGCAGTCCACAATTGAAACCATCAAGAAATATTAATAGATAGGAGTCTGGTTGGTGGCCATTATCTCACAAGAGAATTGCTTATGAAACCTGTCTTTTTTATGTGCGCTGAATGAGTTTGAAAGGAAAAAAGAGATTCGATAGGGGAAAAAGTATAGAAAGAGAAAATGACAGGAAGAAACTGACAAGGGGGGAAAGGCAAGGTTTCTGTGCCAGAGAATAGCATAAGGGGGCACAGGAGGAGGGTGACCATCTGCTCTTCCATTACAGGTTTAATTTATTGCCTAACGACCTGGCATCTCATTCTGTCCCCCTGATTCGTTCCATACTCCTCGGATTCACATGGTTTCAATGATCTGGCCCTTTCCCAAGAGTGCCTGAACTGGCTACCCCTTTTGGCTCATCTGTTTTCAAAGGACAGTAGAGGGCAAGACTTGGGAGAGGGAGTATACATGGTTGCCAGACATGGTTCTCTCAGCACCATTCCCTGGTTGAAGAATTAAAATCTAATGTCACTCCCATCTTTAAAAAGGGTTCCAGAGGAGATCCAGGAAATTACAGGCCAGTCTGACATCAATACCGGGTAAGTTGGTGGAAACAGTTATTAAGGAAAGAATTAGTAGGCACATTGATGAACAAAAGCTATTGAGGCAGACTCAGCATGGGTTCTGTAAGGGAAGATCTTGTCTCACTAACCTGCTAGTGTTTTTTGAGAGAGTGAATAAACATATGGACAAGGGGGACCCAATAGGTGTTGTTTACCTTGACTTCTAGGAAGCTTTTGATAAAATTCCTTAACAAAGGCTCCTGAGTAAGCTCAATAGTCACGGGATAAAAGGACAAATCCTCTTGTGGATCAAAAACTTGCTAATTAATAGGAAACAGAGAGTGAGTATAAATGGGAAATTTTCCCAGTGGAGGGTGATAAGCAGTGGGGTACCACAGGGAGCAGTACTGGGTCCGATGCTTTTTAACTTGTTTATTAATGATTTGGAGTTGGGAGTAAGCAGTGAAGTGGCTAAATTTGCAGATGACACAAAGTTGTTCAGGATGGTGAGAACCAGGGAGGATTGTGAGGCACTCCAAAGGAATCTGTCGAGGATGGGCGAGTGTGCGTCAACGTGGCAAATGCACATTGGAGCCAAAAATTCTATCAATACACATTGATGGGGTCCAACCTGGCAGAGACTGACCAAGAGAGAGATCTTGGAGTCATAGTAGATAACTCACTGAAAATGTCTAGACAGTGTGCGACTGCAATAAAAAAAGGCCAATGCTATGCTGGGGATTATTAGGAAGGGTATTGAAAACAAATCAGTCAGTATCATAATGCCCCTGTATAAATCAATGGTACGACCTCATTTGGAGTACTGTGTACAGTTCTGGTCACCACACCTCAAAAAGGATATTATAGCATTGGGGAAAGTGCCAAAAAGGGCAACTAGAATGATAAAAGGGTTGGAACACTTTCCCTATGAATTAAAGTTAAAGCGCTTGGGGCTCTTTAGCTTGGAGAAATGACAGCTGAGGGGTAACATGATCGAGGTTTATAAGATTATGCATGGGATAGAGCAGGTCGAGAAATAAGTACTTTTCTCCCTTTCTCAAAATACAAGGACTCATGGGCGCTCAATGAAATTGCTGAGCAGTTGGGTTAGAACAGATAAAAGGAAGTACTTCTTCACCCAAAGAGTTAACACATGGAATTCACTGCCACAGGAGGTGGCGGCGGCTACAAGCATGGACAGCTTTAAGAGAGAATTAGATAAGCATTTGGAGCAGAAGTCCATCGGTGGCTATTAGCCACAAGGTATAGACAGGAACTCTCGGTCTGGGGCAAGTGATACTCTGTATTCTTGGTGCTTGGGGGGGGGGCAAAAGTGGGAGGGCTTCTAGTGTCCTGGCCCCACTGCTGGACCTCCTGATGGCACGTGGTGTTTTTGGCCACTGTGAGACAGAGTAGTGGACTAGACGGGCCATTGACCTGATCCAACATTGGCTTTTCTTATGTTCTTATGTTAATAGCAGTTGGTGTTCTCAAGCCTTAGCTGCAGTGCTTATTTGCCACAGCTTGACAGGACTGTTACAATTTGCCTTTTTCAGGAATGGCATAGGACAGGCTGTTTGGATGGTTGTACCAAAGGTGATGTGCCTCTTTGGCAGTTTCTCTGTAGTGTGAAAGGGCTTTCAGAGTTAAATGTGAAGTTTAAAAGGGGTGAGAGAGGGAGTAACTGCAGCAAAATATTTATTTGTCTTTTGCACCTTTCTTGTCATTTTGTGGTTCGATTCAGTGATCAGATTGGTGAACGAGCATCTGGGGGATCCAAGTTCGAATTCCCACTCTGCCGTGGAAGCTCGCTGGATGACTTTGGGCCAGTCACCTATACTCAGCCTAATCTACCTCACAGGGCTGTTGTGAGGATAAAATGGAGGAGAGGAGAATGATATAAGCCACTTTCAGTCCCCATTGGGAAGAAAGGTGTGGTATGAATGGAATAAATAAGTTTAAAAAAATTCTTTTCCAGCTTATCAGTGGAGAGCATGTTGGAGCTCTTGCCATGAGTGAAGCCAACGCTGGTTCTGATGTGGTCTCCATGAAGTTGAAGGCAGATAAACAAGGTAAAAAGGTGCATGGGCATTAGAGGGTGTTGCTTGTGGAGAACTGCAGCAAGTCTTTCAGCTTCTCTCTGCATTGTGTTTTGTTCAAAGAGCTGATGAGGTTGAGCTAGCCTGGGCTATCCAGATGAAGGGCTGTTAGTGGTTTGCCAGAGTCTTAATGGGATATTCTGGGGATGGGTGGTTCATGTCTCTGTGAGAATTAACTGATTTCTTCCTTTCTTTCTAGGGGACTATTATGTTTTGAATGGGAACAAGTTCTGGATTACCAATGGGCCAGATGCTGATGTTCTGATAGTGTATGCCAAAACAAATCCCAGTTCTGTTCCAGCTTCTCAGGGTATAACTGCATTCATTGTAGAGAAGGTAAGTTTGGCAAGGCACCCTACTTCCTCTTCATTCCTCTTTGAGTGATTCCAAACTGAGAGTATCTTTAGATGGCATCTTGTCACTTGGCTGTGAGAAGGCCAGTTCTGACGAACACAGGACATGTCATGCTTTTGCTCCTGTCCTTTTGCTTTGTCCCTGAAGGAAGCATGAACTCGAGCATCTGCCTACTTTAATGTAGCAGAAACTGATGCCTAAATCAGTGGGTAAGCTCAGAGGACCATGCTGCTTGTCATAGATTTGCAGTGCTGGGCTGTTGTCCATTGGGAAATTAAAAGCTGGGCAGTTCTGAACTTGGATAGTTTAGGGCAAGGGACCTCAAAAAGTGTTGACAGACGAGGACAAATTTTGGTCCTTTCTTTTTGTGCTTCTTAGAGTGCATTTTTAGTATGGGGTTTTGTTACCGTGACAAAATTTTGTAAGATTGTATGGTGGCTATCAGTTTTAAGATAGAATAAGGTTGTATTAGACCTGTTTTCTGTACATTAAAGGTAAAGGTTTCCCTTGCTCGAAAGCTAGTCGAATCCGATTCTAGGGGGTGGTGCTCATCTCCGTTTCCAAGCTGAAGAGCCTACGTTTTCTGAAGATTTCTCCATGGCCATGTGGCCGGTATGACTAAACGGCGAGGCACATGGAACGCTGTTACCGTCCCACCAAAGCGGTACCTATTTATCTACTTGCATTTTCTTGATTTTGAACTGCTCGGCTGGCAGGAGCTGGGGCCAGAGACAGGAGCTCACTCCATCACACGGCACTAGGGTCTCGAGCTACCAAGCTACAGAACTTCTGGTCTGCAGCTCAGCATCTTAATCTCTGAGCCACCGCGGCCCCTTTTCTGTACATAAGGAATCCTCAAATTGTAAAAGCATAAAACTTTGTGAAAGCATCAAATCTTAGGAAAATGCAGAAGTTTGATTCTGTTGCAGTTTTATAGCACAATTAATGTTTTCATGAATTAAATTTTATACTTGTGTTCATGCTTGCATTATGCTATATTTTTATACAAGGTGCAGTAGATTGTGCTGTATAAATGATAAGTGGGTTCATTTTTGTGGGAAATTTTTCAAGGCTATTTAACTTCTGTCTACTATATAAATTCAAGCATTATGCACATTAGAAGATGAATTCCACTACCCCAGGTTATTTGCTGGCTCCACATCATTGTATGTGTTCACTTCCTTCAAACAGACACACCTGTTCACTCCCACCCAGATCCTTTCTGTGAGATTTAGCTTCCAGTCCCTGCTCATTATAAAACTGACCACGTGGTGAATGTAACTTTTGCAGTTGCTCTGCCTTCTAATGAAAAGGCTTCTTCTTCAGGGAATGCCTGGTTTCAGCACTGCCCAAAAGCTTGATAAGCTGGGGATGAGAGGGTCAAATACCTGTGAACTGATCTTTGAGGACTGCAAGATTCCTGGTGAGTGATGTCTAAACTGTGCCATGTTGCCTCACTCTGTACATGGAAACTATTTGTATTTATCTCTGCTCATCAAATCATTGGGCAAACAAAATTAAACAATAAAACCAACATTAAAACCCCTATAATAACATGTTATAAAACTATTAAAGCAAGTAACAAATAAAAGGCAGCTGATTTGAGTGGTTTGTCATGAATGTAAATTAGTCTAGGGCTTTCTGCTTATATGACTTTTCAGTCATGATCACAAGAAATAAATTCAAATATGGCTGCTGTTCCAGAGCCATCAATTAAGAGTTTTGGGGCATTAGCTAGGATGTAGTAAATGCCATCCTAAGCGGGTCTTTTTAGAATCCTATTCTAGTCAGTTCAATAGGGCTTCTTCCCAGGAAAGTGTTCTTGGGATTGCACTGAGTATCACATTTTCAGTCTCTGTGCAAACAAATTTAGGAGATTTGTTACCTGAGTTTTTGCTATAGAATGGATGTTGCACTATAGATGGATGTTCCATTGCCATTCCTGCAGAGCTGCAGGGTTGCCAGCTTGCAGGTTCTTTCCC